TGGGTACTGATACGTCAAAAAGCATAATAGAAAGCTTGACGATTCGTTGATTCAAACAATGTCGAATGTGAAGGCTCTTCTCAAAGATCAGTAGCTCGTTAGATGCACTTAATCTCAAAGAAATTTAGCTGAAAGCTTTTGAATTCTCATTCAATCATAATAATTTCCTTTATAAGCACTAGTTCTACTTAAATACAATATAATCACCAATATCTCAACCTCAAGATACGCTAAAAATAAAATAAAACAAAATCTCAACAACCCAAAATAATGGAAGACTGCTTCAATGGCTAACAACTCGGATGTGTGTTGCATCAGATAGTATTTTTTGGAGGGATATTGGAACATGCACATGCAGCAACACCAAAAAAGTCTTTAGCAGGATGAGAAAATAAGTTTTCTTTTGAAAACTTTCTAACGCCCATTTTAAGGTAAAAATGAAAATGACGCTACGCAAGCTTTACAATTCGTGTTTTGATTTGGTTTAATAACTTAGAAACAAATTTTCATTATTTCGTAGTTTTGCATTGGTTTAATTTTACCTTATCACAAATTTATAGTATTTTTTTATATAACTTATTGTGAAGTGAAAAAAAAAAATTAATTCGATTTCATATTAGTTTAACATACATACTATATTAATCAAGATATATAGCATAGTGATCTGTGTAAGTATTGTCAATGTATCATTATCCGAATTCAAAACTCGTATACCATATTGTTAAACTCGTATATCATATTGGTGAAAAAACAATAAAAACTGGTCATCCCATATTATTCATGCATATTGTAATAACTTATGCGTATGATTTCATTTTATTTTTGGTAAGAAATCTAGTGGGTAGTCTGTCAGCAAGATGGTTGAAATCGATTAATTACTATGTATGGATTTTTTTTGCAAAGCAATATCAATGGCGAAGAAAATAAAAAGAGGGGTTTGATCTAATCAAATTGTTTTTTCTCATTTTGATAAAAATATAATCTAATCAAATGTTTTATTTACTTTTTTGTGAAAAATACATAATCTAATCAAATTGTTAACAAACCGTTTATCACCAACCATCCCGTTTGGGGGCAGTCGACGTTACATCATGCTATACATAATATTATATATATACAATTAAATATATCATGTTGGGAGTCATTTTCATGTTTTTAACATCATGCCATACATTGTGGGTATATATATAGACTTGCAATAGATATGTTCCAATCATTTGAATGTTGGGGAACTTTTAAGAAGACATTACAATTGTTCCAAAGATGCTATGATTGTTAGTTCGTGCTATAAGATCTTATAGTAGAAAAAAAAACCAAAGGAAATGGCCGCCCCAAAGTTTGGTGTTAAACTTGTAATTTTTTTTAACTTGTAACTTCTCTAGTTGAAAGTGATTTTGGAAACATTTGGAGCACTGGTAATGACTACTGCACCGCCCAATCATCACTTTATGAAGAGACCACTTTTTAGTAAAATGTATGTGTTTGAAGCTTACTTATGAGAGTATGTTTATTAGTCATTTGGTTTTGTAGGCAGAGACTTATCAATTTGCTTTGATGACCTCTTTTTGCGCAGAATATCTTATGTCCAAACTCATGTGGAGAAACGTTTTAAGTAAAAAAAAGATAATAAAATTCTCTTCACTATTTCAACTAACCTAATACTAATAAAAAAGTTGAATTATAGATCTTTACAGCCATCTATCAAGTGACTGTATTCCTAGTAATCATATTTCGAGGCGTAAACATGAAAATAAAAATGAATTATAGCGTTTAAGTGCCTCGAACATGAAAATCTAGAACATGCCACCAGCGTGAAAAATGTAGTGACATTCAACGGTTTTCTTTTTTGCCAAGTGAGTTAATTATATCAAAGTTTCAAGCATTTAAACAAATGCATATGTTTAATTGATTTGTTTTTTGTTTACAGTTTTTAACAAATTGAATTCTCGAAATGCAGAGGAGATGGATTGTCAAAAGCATTAAAAAGAGTACTCGATTCATTGTATTAATATGCTTAACTGTCCCATGTGAGGTAAATAATAATTTGGTCAATATATTGTTTAATCTTTCCACCTTAATATCAAATGTCTTATTTTTGTTTGTAGATTTTCATTGCTTTGATCATTGGATTATTCGCTTCCATGCCAAAATTGAGCAAAAACTGAGCAAAAACTTAGATAAAATTGAGCTAGAAATACCGGCTAATTAGCTTTAGCATCGGATGACTAGTTTGCTTTGCAATCGTTTCAAAAGATATTTCATTGCCAATAAATATTTTTAGATTGCTAGTAAGCTTCCGACAGAAACAACAAACAAGATCGAATTAATTTTACATGTACTAAAAAATTCATCAAGCTAATGATCGAATTTTTTTATTTTTGACTTGTACCTTTTAATCTTCTTGAAATTTGTCTCTGTTTTGGGTAGATGGAAACTGGTGAACTCATCACTAGCACTGCATCTCCGAGAACATCTATCTTCGAGGCTAATTTTTTATGTGACATTGGTATCATATAAGACAACCCAATAGAAAATATTCATAAGGAGAAACCGGCGAGTATTGAGTTTGATTTTCGACTCAATTAAAAATTCAAACCAATTGCTTGATTGAACAAGTAAATTTCTATTTTGTTTTCTTTCTCCACTTGATGGTAAAACTTAGTTTTTTTAGTTTCTCTCGATATGTTAAAACATATCAATCATTTTCATTATATATTTTACTTTTCAACACGCTTCTCCATTTGTAGAAATTGTTATCACCAATGATATTAAAGTAATATGACTGATCTTGTAATGTACTACCTTGCCTATTAGAAAATGGTATAGATTAAATTGGAGTGTGCTTTGAGTTGGGAATCCTATGTAATTCAAGTTTGGTGCTAGTTTGAGTTAAATATGAGTCAACATTTTAATGGTTTAAATCCTTTATAAACATTTAAAACATTCGTAAATCCAATCTTCAAAATAGTTAAATTTACCAAAATGTCAAAGTTATTTAAAATATAAAATGCATTCTTAAAAAAAAAAAAAAACTGAAACCTACCTTTATTTCTTTTTTACTTTTGTACCAACAATCTTGTCATAAATTACAACTAAATTTGTCATTTTTAAACATATCCAAACCAAATTTTAATTCGATCTAATTCAGCACTATCTTTCTCAAACTGAACAATTCAAATAAACCAAACTTCCAAAGTTTCGGAATTAAGTTGAAGTGTGGTGAAATAATGGAAGAAATAGCCTCATAGTATTATTTTTTTGCATAAGTGTAACTTGGAGGGCTTATTGACTAGGGTTTTCGGCAACTTCTCCTCCGATGATTTCTCGCCGCCTCTCCAGTTTCTCTCAGTTGTGGAGGAGAAACCTCTACACGACGTTGAGTTCCGCTCCGGCAATCCGCGTGGAGAAGGTGTTCGATGATGTCCTTGTGGAGAAGCCCATGGAGAAGTCTGTGATGGCAAAGAAGATTCTTGAAGATATACCGAGTCTAACAGCTTCGAATCTGGACCGCGTATTGAGGGAGACGAACGGATCTTTGACTGAGGCGGATCTCGCCGGATGCGCGTTCTTCCTGTCCAACAACGGGAAAGAGGAACGAACGTTGGAGATCTACCTGTGGATGGAGAAACGGATGATGGCATTTTCTCCAGTCCAATTGGCACATTTTGTTGAGCTCTTTGCTAAGATCAAAGGGCATGTTGCTGCTACCGATTTGTTCAAGACACTTGATCCGGAGTTCGATGAAACTAATCCTCTTTCTGATAACTGGCCGGCGTTCTTGAAACTGCAGAACTTGAAGCTGGTCCAGAAGAACATTGAGAAGTTAACTATCCTGGACATAGCCGATAGGTTGGCTCCTTCAGTGGTTTATTTGGTTGGTACATATGGGGTCGGTGACAGCCAAAATATCGGCTCGGGCCCTGGTTTTTTCCTAGGGAAGGAAGGCAACGTACTTACGTGTGCTCATGTTGTAATCGATTTCGAAAGAGCTCGAAATTGTCCATCGTATAATGCATCGACTAAGAGGGTTCTTGTGGGTTTCATGACGGTCGAATCACCAACGGGTATGTTGTTAAGTATAACACCTACCACGATGTGGCGTTGGTGAAAATCCTTGAGGATATCGAGTCCGTTTCCATCACTTTGGGTTGTTCCCAATCTCTCCGTCGTGGAGATGCAGTAATCTGTTTTGGATCTCCCCACCATCTCCATAGATCCCTTTCTGTGGGTGTTGTGAGCTGTGTGGACCGCACCGATGAGGAGATTAACGCGCCTGAAAGGAACTTAGAAATTCCCTGGACCTACATTCAGACAGATTGTGCTATCAACTCGGGCAACTCAGGAGGCCCGCTCGTTGACCTTCAGGGCAGTGTCGTAGGGCAAGTGTGCATGAGGAGACAAGACTCAGAAGGGATAGGGATCGTAACCCCGATCGACAGAGTCATCAAAGTTGCCAGAAGGATGCTCAAGGAATGAAAATTTGATCAAGTCTATCTTATTTAAATAATCTTTATTTTTATCTTGGTATGGATTGTTGAGTGCCTTTAAATAATCTTTATCTTTATCTTGGTCTGGATCGTTTACGTTATTGTAACTAAATTTTTATCTTGATCTGGATTTTAATTAAGGGTTAATTTGCTTAATAATCCAAAAAAAAATCGTATATAAATAAGTAACCAAAATGGCTCATGTGGCTAAATAATAACCATTAGATTTAGGGTATTTGGTTACTTATTTAGATTTTTTTTTTGTTATTAAGCTAATTAACCTTTCAATTAAATAATTTTGTTATGATATAAAAAAAAAAGTGTAACTTGGAAAACGTAGATTGACCAATTCATTAATTTTTTATTGTCAGTAGATGGCATCCAATTGGACCAACAATTTCAGCAATCCCTGCATTCGTTTAATTTAATTGTACCAATATGTAGTATTAAATTAAATTTAAAGATACATGCACAAAAAATTAATTTCAAATATATTTAAAACACACACACAAGTCATAACAATGATTATTTGAGTTATATACTGCTATTACATTTTCTTAAAAGTTTTTTAATCACAAGAGGCAGAGACATGCATGCCGAAACAAGCATTCCTCGTCTGACTTCTCTCGTCCACAATTATTTATTTTTATAATATGAAGGTGTTAAGTTATTGTACTATAGTTAATAGGAAATAATTAAAGTATAGGTCGATGCTTTTTAATAACAAAGTTTAAATCGTATAGATCAATTATTGCCGGTACGTATATGTCTATCTTTAATGCGTTATGTAAACTTCATATGCTGTCGAATGTCGACAATTCAATAAATTAAATTATATTACGTGCATGTTTATATATATATTAGAAGTATTCTGATTTCTAGGTTAGCAGAAAAAAAAAAGTATTCTCATTTCTCTTGTTTTCAGTATCAATAATAAAATCTTATTCCTAGTTTTTTTTTCTTGGGCTAGTTTATATAATAAGAAAAAAAATTATAATTAGCAATTAATCAAAAAACCTAAATCTAATAATTATGATTATGTCACATATTATGAAGTTTTTGGTTAAATTGCTAATTAAAAATTTTTATTTGACTATTGATGCCAAATTCCTTTTTTCTTTTCTTCTTCTTTTCTTTTGTAGTAGCTTAGAGCAACTCCAACCTTGACACCATATTTGGTATTGAAATTACACTAAATTTGGTGTTTTGGTGTCAAAAAAGTTTTTTCATCTCTAACCACAACACCAAATATTACACTATAAAAAAAATTCTCCATTATTATATTATTAAATTTAAGTTTTTTTTTCTTTCAATAGTTTGATAAATGATAATTAATTTTAGAACTCATTTATTATAAGAAATATTATATTACAATCGATAACGATAAATTAAAAAAAAATACAACAATAAATTTAAAATAGCAAAAAATAAATTACATTATACTAGTTCACAGAATTAGTATATTCGGACCACAAATATTTTTAAAAATTAATTTCTTGCATTTAGTTTATGTTTGTTTGGTTTTAATTTGTAATTTTATGTTATCAGTATTTTAATTAAACTTTATTATGTATTTTTAATCTTAATCAATTTGTGCTTTAATTTAGATATTTTGTC